TGATTGGCACAGGACAGAGCGGAGTTTAGGGCTGTTGTACATAGGGTCGCTATGAGTCGCAGGCGACTCGACGGCACATAACAACAACAACAACAAAAGATAGATTCCCCTAAATCCCTAGCCCTCATTGTATAAAATAGCTGCTGGGGTTCTGGCCATCACATCTGAGTTCCAGACAGCAGAAAGGCAAGAAAGCACATTCCCTTACCTTTTTTTGAAAAAGCAAACATTATTGTGATTCGAACATTCTTCATTGTTAAAATAAAATTTTTAAATTGTGATTTTAATGAAAGTTTATAGAAAAGTTAGATTTTCATTCAATGTTGCACATTTACCTCCTCTCTTCCCTTCTCCTTCCTCCAGTTCACTTTTTTTCATATTCGTTCACTGTTGCCCCGCCCCAGTCCTCTTTGCAGTGTACCTCTTATTCTGGGCTGTTGTTGTATGTTTAATGCCTAATCGTGTATTCCTTTTAAATAGTTCTTTCCTTCATATGTTCCAATGCAATGGTCATTATCTATCCCCTACTTTTTTAAAAATTATTGTTATTATTATTAATTTTAATGAAAATTTACAGAAATTTTTTATTTCCATTCATTCATTGTTACACTTTTCTCCCTGCCCATTCCTCCCCTCCAGTTCATTCTTCTTTTTGAAAAGAAAAAGAAAAATTATTTTATTGTTACACAATCCCTTCCCCCAGGTCCACTCTACTATGCAGCCTTCACTCTGGACTCCTGTCATGACAATAATACCTAATCATATATACCTTTTAAGTTATCCCTCTCACCTGTTTTATCCCATCTTTCTGTCTCCACCCCCCAACCCCTAGGTCAGTCCAATTTTACAACGGTAGCACTATGCAGTATTTGTCCTTTTGTGACTGAGATATTTCACTCAGCATAGTGCCCTCCAGGGTCTTCCATTTTGAATAATATTTCATGAGTTCCTTGTTTTTCAATGCAGCATAGTATTCCATTATGTGAATATACCACAGCTTCCCTATCCATTCGTTTGTTGATGGACACTTAGGTTGTTTCCAACTCTTTGCTATTGTGACCAAAGCCACGATAAACATGGGTGTGCATATATCTGCTTGGATGTCAGTTATGGTCTCTTTGGGATGTATTCCCAGTAGTGGAATTGCTGGGTCAAATGGTATTTGCAACTTTTTGAGAAAGCACTATACCACCTTCCACAGTGGCTGCACCATTTTACACTCCCACCAACAGTGGATAAGGGTTCCAGTTTCTCCACAACCTCGCCAGCATTTGTTGCTTGCTGTTCTGTTAAATTTTGCTATTCTGACTGGGG